CCACCCCCTGCCAGAGCTGTTGAAAATTGCTCCCTATTTATACCCCAAAGTCCCAGAATGCCTGCTTAGCTCCGCCCTTGGGTCCTCACAGTTCTCTCCCTGGTACTGCTGGGAGCTGTAGTTTCCAGTCACTGGAGTAGGGTGGAGTCCAGAAAGCTGGAGTAGGGTCCACAAAACTCTGCAGAGTTACTTTAGGATAGCCTTCACCTTAACAACATGTATACTAAAGGCCATTCATGCATCTTAGCAGGACCATTTTGCTGTAAAAGATGCGACATGCAATACTTGAATGTGAGTATTAAATGATAGAATTATTAATGTTACTTGCTGATAGTGAAGATCTGTATGTCAAAGAAACTGAGTTGTAGGTAGTAAACACCAAAGTAGTCAGGGATAATGATATGTCTATATTACAAATGGTTCAGGGGAAAGGAAAGGTCTTTCTACCCAGACTTCAGACTTCTAATTGTTGAGACTGTTTCCAAAAAGCAAATCAAAAATTAATAATTAGAACAATTATGTAAAGTCTTTGGCAAATTTTATGACACTATAACATCATAACACATCCAAATCTTAGCAAGTCACAACAGCAGGATGTGAAAAACTTTAAAAATGTGGGGGGCCCCCAATGGAGTAGGGGGCTCAAGTATCAACACTATCACACCATCACCTGAGTTAATTCTCAGCCAGAGAGTTAAGCCACCCGTGGTGCTGCAGACCTCTCCTGTCTGGCCCACTGCTCCCTTCAGCCATGTATTTCAGTAAATCCACCTGTTTTGCTCCCCGTTCTGTCTCTGGTGTATCATTTCACCCCCAAGCCTGTGGCCTACACCCTAGTTCTTCTACATATATATCAATAAACCTCTCAGATTACTAAAAATGGAGGTACCTTATGATCCAGCAATTCCACTCCTAGGAATCTACCCAAAGGACACAGAAACACATTAATTGGAAAGGAGATCTACACTCCTATGTTCATTGTAACACTATATAAAATAGATAAGGAAACAACTAAACCCAAAAATAAATGACTCGATCAAGATGTGGTATATACGCACAGTGGGCACTATTCAGCAAGCTAAAAAGATAAACTCATGCAATTGCAGCAACATGGATGGAGCTAAAAAGGTTTATGCTCAGTGAAATAGGAATAGAATAAGAAAAATATCAGGTGATTTGCTTATAGGAGGGATATAGGAGAATCAAATAATAGATCAGAAAAAAAAGGGCAACACTAGCAGGTAGCTATAAATCCAGACATTCATGAGGACAGGAGGAGGGAGGAGGTTTAAAACAGGGGATAGAGCACAAGAGATTATGGTGATGGTTCATGGGTGATTTGGAGGTGGAATTTTCTACAGGGGCTATACCTGAAAAAAATGAAACATTGTACAAAAATGAAAAGTGATGTAAAAAATATACATGTTAAAATAAACACATAAAAATTTTAAAGTATTATCAATAAACACTACTAAATGATAAGTGACAACTTGGTTATTGGCATACTGTTTAAATGACTGGTACTTGGGCAGTTTGGTTATGTAAAACTCAATAGTGTAGATTTTCATTCACTAAATTTACTTAAAGATTTGTTAGATGTCAAGGAACATACATTAAAATATACAAATTTTCATCAGACACATGATAAAAATATTCGCTTTTAATAAAGAGTTTTGCATACCACATGTCAAGTGGGAAGGAATCAAAATGCTACATAAAAAGATCCAAAAATTAACTTTTATTATTTATCATTCAGATCATATACTTTCTCTTTAAGATCTCTACATATTCTTCAGATGCTTTCAAAAGTGGATCTTGATTTAATTTGGACTCATCAGTAGCTCCTAAAGAAGCTGTACAAGATTCAGATTCATATTCATCAGCAGCTGGAAAGGAAAACAGAATTATATTCTAGTCTAAAATATGTTGTAGTAAACTATGATAACATCATTTAAAAAAAAACGAGTATTTTATCCGTGTACCATTCCAATACAAAATATAAGATCACCATAAATATTATTTGTTCATAGTTGCACATTGAATCAACTGCTGTGTGGCTAAGTAGCAAAGTTTTTGATTTCTGAATTCTTATTTAATCAGCAAGCAATGCTATTTTACAATGACAATCACTAGAATTACAAAAACTATGACCTCAAGCTGTAAATTGTAAAAGAAGACAGAAGGGTGATGTCCACTCAGACTCATATACTGCACGGCAGTATTGGAACAGAGAAGGCACATCCCAGGTTTGTGTCCGCATTTGTTGACTTTTTGGTGGCCATGATAAGAACAAGGACAGAGTAGACCAGATGGAGGAAAGAAGCACCCACAGAGAGCTGGAGACAAGAAAGGACACCTGTGGCTTTCTAAGTAGTGAGTTTGGCTAGATGCTAAAGGGGAGGCCGAGCAAGGGCAAGAGATAAGCTTGTATAATTTGGCAAGGACTAAATTGATTTGGGATTTTATATTCCTATACTGACATCAGCAGCTGTGCCACTGTGTTGTATAATGTCGTTTGTAATTATGCCAGTGGGAAGGGTTTGTCCAATATTTACCATAGATACAGCGATGAAATCTAAAAGTGGGGATGTAACAGTGGTGACTGAGGCCAAGGTCTGTTGCAGGTGGTGCCCCTCCCTGGTGGGGGTTGGGGGGTGCTGGTGAGACAAATAGATTCAGAGAATAGGCTAAAGAGTATGGGATTTTGAGGAAGGATGGCAGAAGGAAAGTGGAGGGCAGAAGGCAGAAGCAGGAGATGAGGGCGTCTGGACACAGTGGATGTGAGCCTGGGACAGTCTAAACAGCCTGGCTTAGCTGTGTGAGACAATTGTTGGGTCATTTTTGTGTCTGTGGCTGCTGTCCTGAGTGTTGATCATCTGGCGCTGTGCCAAAGCATCCTGCAGTTCAGGGAGAGTTTCTTGTCGCGTCTTCTGTTGCCCTCGTGAGTTGGACCCTTGCCCGGAGCCTGGCTGCCGTGTGCCCCAGGTTGGCAGTGGCAGGAAGACGCCATCTTAGACATGTGGCCTATTGTTTGGGAGAGGAGCTGCCCGTTCTCGGCCGCAGGGAGACGCCATCATGACAGTCTTTGTGCAGGACAGTACTTGGGTAAAGCAAGACTTTGGTAAAGCAAACAGCCATTACTGGCCTTTTTCCAGTTTGTTAAATCCCTCTGTTGTTATTTCCTGAGCCTCAGCATTCTTGCAATTGTGTGTGCAGGTGAAGAACCCAGACAGTATTTGGTAAAGCATTTGGGCAGCGGGGCCTTCGCCAGCTAAGGGTACCCTGCAGCCTGGTATTGTTACAGGGCAACCCAATGTGAATGTGGGTCCTCACCCTTGCGCTTAATATTTAACTGCACTGCAGACACACAAAAAAGGTCAATAATGGGTTTATTTACAAGGGAAAAAGAAAAGGAACAACCCAGGGAGAGAGAGAGCAAGAGATACAAGCTAACTAGTGCATGCTAACAGTTCCCCTGACCTGGCCTGGAACCCCAATAGTGCCCTGAGGCTGATCAAGAGCCAAGCCACTAGCCACCAGCCCCAAGGCCAAGAGAGAAAGAGTCTCCACTCATCATGTCCGGTCCTACACCCCAAAACCCAAAATGTCTGTTTCACTCTGCCCTCGGGTCCTTAACCCCTCCTTTTGGTGTTGCTGGGATTTGTAATTTTGGTGTCTGGGGTGGGGGTGGAGTCCACAAAACCTGTATCTGTAAAGTTCATTCAGGACATCTTTCCCCCTAACAGTATCAATATTAGGGGTGTTGGAATTTCCCCTGGAGACAAATGTAAACAGCGACAAAGTAAGTGGCTGTAGGCCCAAATGTCACACACCAAACCACGGCTGTATGAACTCTAACTGCTTGACTGTGGACTGCTACGGGAGTCTGGGTGTCGATTTTACGGGAGGAGGGTAGAGAGGTTTTGGCCTCAAAATACTATTAGAGCCATGAGCAGTTGACAAAACCCATGTTTTCTGAGAACAGTTGTGTGCAGGTTGATAGTTCCACAGGGATGGAAGAAGTATAGGGAAGATATGGCCAGAAGTAAAAAGAGATACATAATTATTATTTTGATTTTTGAAAAGCAATGGAGCATGATGAATAAATAACAGTAAGTATATATTTAATGTGAATGATTCCACATTTTTCATCTGATTTGTGATTTTTTTCATGCACAAAAATGTAAGAGATGACACTATCATCTATTTCAGAAATCAATACCATTTAAATTTAACTCAAATTTTGCAACATACCTTTTTTTAGTTCTCTATTTATAGCATCTTCCAACTCTTGCTTTATCTGAAATAAGTAAAATATTACAGGGATTAAATTAAAAAGAGATAACACAATGACTTCTAGGAATGATTTCTACCTTATGAAATTTGGTCTTTAAATAATACCTTTGGAGAGCAGACCTACTTGGGAATTGTCTAAGTAGAAAAATAATCACATAAAAACAATAAATTCCTACTCATTTCAGATAATTTTAGAAATAGAGAACAGGGGCCTTCCTGGTGGTGCAAGGGGTGCAGCACTGTGAAGCTAACCACAGCCACTACAGTTAGAGTTTGACTCCTGGCCAGGGACGTGGCCCACATGGCATGGCAGACCTCTCCTGTCCAGCCTGCTGCTCCCCTCATCAGTGTATTTCAGTCAGTATGCCTATTCCATTCCCTACTCTATCTCTGGTGAATCCTCTCACCCCCTGAACCTCTCTGTACTCCAGTTCTTGTATGCATAAATAAATAAATAAATCTTTAAACAACAAATAAATAAATAATAGAAAGAGAACATATAGATGTATTGTCACTTAGATTAATCTGACAGAAAGCATAATAAATATTGGGCCACTGAATAAACATAATCTCAAAAGGGGATGTTTGACCTTATTGATACTAAAAATTCACATCTGATTTTACACTGAATACATTATTTTACAATTGTTAGAAAAACTGTCCTTTATAAAATCAGTTTGTTTAGTGGGTTTTCAGATTGCAGTCTACCCAGCTGGCAGGTTGCCCAGGATCCTGCCAAGTCCAGGCAGGGAGGATGGGCGCTCCTGGGTCCTCGGAAGCTGGCTAACAGTGAGCCCTGGGTTCTGTGCATCTGCTCCAGAAAGTTGCACAGATTTTCCTGGAGATTGTGCTCCTGAGGTTACTGGGCCAAGTGTGCTCCAGGACACCTGTGGAGCCCCCAAGAGGGAGCCTAAACTATAGATCAATGTTTCTGATGACTGCTGATACACAAATTCTCAACAAAGTGCCATCAAATCAATTTTGATGCTATATTATAAAGATTATACACCATGACTGGGTTGGATTTATTGGTATGTAAAAAAAGCTTAATGTGCACAAATCAATGTGGTTATATATTATCAAAAGAAAGGATAAAAATTCCATTTAATATTATCAATGATGCTGAGAAAGCAACTGATATGACCAATTTATGAGAAAAATTCTCGACTCGAAGAGCAAGAACTTACCTCAATATAATAAAGGCTGTATATCACAACCCACAGCCAATACTTTTCTTAACAATAAAAACTGAGGGCTGACTATTTAAGGTCTGCAACAAGGCAAGGTTGGCAAGGGCCACCACTTCTGCTTAACATAGTATTAGAGTTTTTAGTTTGAGCAATCAGCCAAAAACAAGAAATAAGAAGAATGTAGATCCTGAACTATATTTGCAGGCAATGAACCATAATAAATGGGGAACTCAGAAGAGACCAGCTAAAAGATATTAAAAACAATAAAAATAATACAGTAAAGTGGTGAGGTACAAGAGTAACATATAAAATCTTTTGCATTTTTATACACGAACAATAAATGAGGAAAAATATGGAACAAGTAAGTCATGAAGAGATGGAAAGATACCCCACATTCATCGATGGTGATCATTAGTAGTCAAAATGATTATTTTACCAAAAGCATTACAGAGATCTCATGCCATTCCCATTAAAATGCCAGTGATATTCTTCAAGGATATAGAAAAAATTATACTAAAATTTATACAGTATCAAAAAAGAGATTCCAAAGAGAGAAAGCACTTCTGAGAAAAAGAAGAAAAGTGGAGAAATGTTACCTGATTTTGAGCTATATGATAAAGCAACAGTAATCAAAACAATAGTGTATTGGCATAAAAGCAGACACACAGATTGATGGAACAGAATCAACAGCTCAGGAATAAATCCATGTATATATCAATCCCTAATTTATGAAAAAAGAAGTCATGGCCATAAAACGGAGAAAGGTGGTTTCTTTAAGATAGGGAGCAGGGAAACGAGATACCATATGGGAAAGAATGACCTTGGATCACTCTCTAATTCCATGTACAAAAAAATTTCAAAATGGACTACAGATTTAGATAGGAAAGCTGAACAATCAAATGCACAGAAATGAGTATTGGTTTTCACAATATTACAGATATAAATGTCTTTAGATAATAGACTTCTATGGCAAGAGATGTCAAAACAAAATGAAACAGCTGGCACATCTCAAATTCTAACTCTTTACAACAGCAAAAGAAAGTATTAGCAGATTAAAAAAAAAATCCTATCGAATGGGATAAATACATCACACAACTGATAGTGGGTTAATATGTAAAACACTCAAAGAACTCACCCAAGCAACACTTAGTCAACTTTTTTGAGGCATTGATAGCCATTGTGGAGACATGTCTTTGTATTTGATAAAGTAAAGCTTTTTAACCTTCCTTATTAAAGCTGGCATGATTTGGCAAACTAATGCCCCACAGGGGGACTATCTATACATTGGAACTATATGTGGAACTGTTTTTCTACATATCTAAAAATACTAAAAATAAACAATCCTTTTCTCCAAAATGAATTTAAAATTTTCCACAAAAATCTCTTATATTGCTTTAATGCAAATACACACCTCTTTTTGTAAAATAATGCATTATTTTGGGGGGGAGAAAACATTTAACAAATTACAGAAGTATTTGATATTCACTTTCTTTCTTTCTTTCTTACCAATAGACCAAAATTCCACAACTTTGAAGTACTTAAACCCTATAGGGCTACAATGTTAAGAAGCCCTAGATTTGCTGTATCATGATTTATTATGACCAGAGGTCAAATGAAAAAAATAAGTCTGAGACTTCATTTAAAATGGACCATTGCTACTTTTACCTGCATGAAGATCAAGAAACACCATCAGAACCATAAGCTACTGTGCATTGACTGAAATGGAAATTATAATAACATTGAAAACTAGTTGTTGTTAAAAGATTCCTTTTCATTGCTACCTCAGTCTTCATTCAAGTGACAGTGATGTATAAAAACCTGAGTGGACTTAATTTTAAAAGATCAAGTATTTGCTTGATTTTGAATATTTAGGGATGTCCTTTATAGTTGTTCAGAAAAAGGACCATATTTAATAAAAATTGAGATAAAAATGTTAGAGGTACAATAGCAATTACAGATGTTCTCTCATAAAAAAGACAAAAACTAATCAATTTTGTCATTAATTTATAAGTTTCTTTAATTCATAAAATGTATTAAAGTTGGATTACTTAAAATAATAAGCATCCACATGTGATTAGGTATTTGGATACTTAGGGATGGGGTATACAGGGAAAGTTGAATATTGTTGTAAACCACAGTCACACTGAAACCAATTAAAAAGCAAAGCCAAAGCATCTTGAGGTGTAGACTTCTCATTCTCAAACAATAATATTGACTTCTAATATTTAATTAAATGCAGATTTTCAAGAAATTTGAAATGTGTTAGTTGGTAACATTTATTTAGTAACATTGGTAGTGGGCACATCTCTTGAAAATGAGTGACCCAGGGACCTATAAAGGTAAAATTTCTACTTTATTAGCACTAATATTTGGCTTACATTTCGTATGTATAAGTCCACAGAACAATTCAGAATTGCTGGAAATCACAAATGAGTGCTGCATTAGAATTTAAAGCTCAAAGCTAAAGAGATAATATAACTCACCTTGTTGTAGTAAGTGCCTCTGCTGTCATTTGAGAGCCCTGCGTTGGAGGTGGGATAGGCAGTTGAACTTTGTCTTGCAGTAAGATAGCTATAGGGCACTAAATGGTTAAGATCTGCAACATAAGGTGGCCCTGTGCTGGGCCTGGTAGCAAAAGTGCTGAGTAGACATCTGTTATGCATTTTCTCCATATGACGTTTGCTACTGATTTTCGTTAGTTTATCATTCATCCTGTGAAGATTACAAAATCCAAGCATTTAATATTTCATTTTTCTCTAAAAAAATTTGCTTAATATATATATTATATATACTACAAGTTATATATATATGTATATATGTATATAAGTATATGTGTGTGTGTGTGTATGTGTGTGTGTGTGTATCCATAACATTAAGGAGAATTTCCCGCTGAAGAGTTTTAATACTCAAAATATGTTGGAGACCCCTTATTGTCTACATTAGCAATTTAAAAATGTTTAAAGAAGTATGTTTCTGGGCGGAGTCCTGGCTAACAAGGAATTCAGAGCAGGGAGGCCTCTAGGGAGGCAGGTGCCTTCACAGGTAACACTTGTTCCCTTCGGAATGGCGCCACCTACAGGATCCTTGAGGGAGCCATGAACATAGCTCAACATCCAGTTTAGATATCAAAGGAGTACACTACCCGTTGAGGACATGTTCAGGAGTTTGCCTTTATTATTCTCTATATTCCTCTCATTGCCGCTAAAGAAATGAAACATTGGCACTGAGGAATAACCTCTGAGAGAGACTAGGAGGGCCCCCTAGTGGTGACCAAAGGAACTAAACTAGTCCAGAGGCAATAGTGTTTAACACTGTTACCAGAATGGTGTAGGGTCTCTCACAGACCCCCACAAGCGGATCACAGTGTTACTTGTAGTCACTTTCTGAACTATACCACTCTTTACCTCCAGGAGCATCTTTCCCTATTTCATTGCTGCCTTCTGTAGAGCAGAAAAACAAACTGTGAAGGGTAGTTTGTCTCATGGCACCCTCTGTTGAGAATGTAAGGATCATAGCTAAACAGTTCATTTACCAGTCTAGAGCAAGTAAGAAATACATGACTATTTTAGTTTAAACTATAACCTTCCCCAAAATGAATTCATTAATATTTCTATTTTGTGGAATTATTACAAGCAACTTATAACAATATCTCCATCTAAAGGTGTTAACGTTTCAAAATGTTTGGTTTAAGTAGACCAGGTTGACTATATGACATTATAAAGGGGGGAAAAACTAAATGGAATAAAACCAAAATGAGAGAAGATGCCGACATCCTGGAATAATAAAGGTAAATTCACTGATTATCAACTTTTCCAAAATTATATTATCTAGTTAGCTTTCCCTTCATACTAATCACATGAAGCTGCTAGGCCTATAAAAAATTATGCTTTGGAGGCTAATTGCTAAATTTATTTTCTATGATCTCTGATCTCTGTTTTTTTTTTTTTATTCATACAGAACTGGGGTACAGGCCAGAGATGCAGAGGGTGAGAGGATTCACCAGAGACAGAGTGGGGAGCAGAACAGGCAGATCGGGTCAAGAGAGGTCTGCCACACCATGTGATCACCTCCGGGGCAGGAGGGAATCGAACTCATGCGGAAGCGGCTTTAGATTCTTAGTGCTGTGCTTTAACCCGCTGCGCCACCAGGGAGGGCCCACTCTGTTTCCTTTTTTTAGCTTACCTGCTTAGCCTATTTTCCAAAGATTCTCTGGCTTTTACTTCTTCTAGGTAGAGATGCTTGTATCTTTCTAGTTCTGTTCTGTTGGAATCTTTTTCAGTTTTCATTCTGGAAACTTCGGTTTCCAGAACTTTACAACTGAGTTCCATCTGACTTCTCACTGAAGTATTGTGACTCTCTATTAGTTGCTCTAAGTGTTCTTGAGATGTTATTTTTGTCTAAAGCAAATGAAATGATACATTTTAAAATGACTATCATCTGAATAGCTATATTTATTTTCCTTTGTTCTGATCAATGATTCAGAGAGCAATGTCAAATGTGCAAAAACTGTTTCAAAATATTCCTCATCAGTGTCAACTGAATTAAGTGTGAACTGTAACAATGAAGCTGAATCACTGTTTTTATCTGACAATCCAAGGAATATTAGAATCAACTTAAAAAATTGTAACTGAGAAAGCATAATTTAATAATAATCTAAGAGCATGTTATGCTTTTTAAATCAAGATTCTTTTCTTCCTAAGTGTAGTCTTATTTTATAACAACTGGTATTCCAAACAAAATGATTCTCCGAGAGAATCATACTGAAAGATAGATTTAGGGGTAACATTGTTGAAAACTGATGAGATATTTAAAGGGAGAAACATGTGCACCTTCCTTCCAGAAATTTCCAAAACAAATTGTTGTAATGGAAGTAGAGGAAACACATACAATGTGTGCATACACCCAAAATTTAATTTGCAGTGAAATTTTCAAGTTCAAAAAACTAACCTGTAAAAGTAGACTGACTTCTTTAACTTTTTCTTCTATATCCTGTACTGTTTGTTCAATTACTCTCATGTCCTTCTCCACTTGACAGCATTCTACCAACTTTGTTTTAACAGGACTTTTGTGGTTTACTATTACTTGTTTCAATTTCTTTTTCTTCTCTGGTCTTTCACATTTGTTTTGCATTACTTCCATAGATAACTCCTGTGGGTGAAGTTGATTTTCTGCTTCCAGATGAGGCCAGGCTGAAGATGCTGTTTCCAGTTTCACAGTAATATCATCCATCTGCTGGAGAAAAATAAGAATAGTCTAATTCATGATATGATATTATACTTAGAGAACCCTAAAGATCCCCACAGAAAACTAGTCAAAACATTCACTCAAAAGGACACCTGCACCTCTATGTTTATTGCAAACAAATACCCCCAAATAGATGACAACATGAAAATGTGATCTTTATACACAATGGAATACTATTCAGTAATCAAAACGATAAACTAATGCCATTCACAGCAACATGGATGGAGCTAGAAGGGATTGTGCTCACTGAAGTAAGTCAGAAGGAAAAAGAAAAATTTTGGATGGTTTCACTTATAGGAGGAATATAGGGGCACCAAATAAGGGACCTGGGGGGGAAAAAAAAAGCATAACAAAACAAAAATAAACAGACAACTATAATCAGACACATTTTGCAGGGAAGGGGGTGGATGAGGGAGGGGGATCTCCCTCTGTTTTTTTTTTTTTAAATCCCAACAAAGAGAAAGGCATTCCTTTCAGAAGAATATTTGCACAGTGGCCTACTATTCATTGTTAATGAAGAGAAGAATTTACATTAAATGTAATTCAATCTCAAAATCTCACTTAAGGGTTTAGATTACAACAGGAATCAGAAATTATACATTAAACCATTACTCAAATTTCTGGGAACTTTAAAAAGAATGCTAAAACATTAATTACATCAGGAACTCAAAGAGATAAGCATCTGTCAGTGGTCATGGCAGCCTTATAAACAAGAGCCAAAATCATGGCCAAAAGGAAGACACAGTGATAGGAACACAATGCATATTTTTGTATTTTGAGACTTTTCCTATCATCCAAACATGCTTATATATTGGTATTTCTGCTGGAGAAATAGAACCTTCTTCACCACTGCTGGAAAAATAACCTTCTTCAGTGAGACTGACTCACCATATTGGTACTCAGCAGATTTTTCTGAAGCTGCTCAATTTTGCGCCCCTGTTTTTTGATGGTATTGTTTAGCTTGACATTTTCTTTTTCAATCCTAAAAAGTACAAATATTACGTTCACATAGAGATTAAAGAAAAATCACATAATTTTTCAGCACTTGAAGTTGCAATTACATAAATTCTTAAAAATTTGCAAAGCCGGGCCCTCCCTGCTGCCTCAGCGGGTTAAAGCACAGCACTGAGAAGCTGAAGCCACTTCCGCATGAGTTCGTGCCCTGCCTGGGGGGAAGAGATCTACATGGCGTAGCAGACCTCTCCTGACCCGCCCGCTGCTCCCCTCAGCAGTGTACTTCATCGATCTGCCTGTTCTGCTCCCCACTCTGTCTCTGGTGAATCCTCTCACCCTCTGCTTCTCTGGCCTGTACCCCAGTTCTGTATGTACAAATAAATAAATCTTTAAAAAAAATTTTTAATTAAAAAAAAAATTGCAAAGCCAATTTCCTAGCGGGGTTGTAGATAAAGTGCACCACTTAGAAATAATGTGCCAAGTTCACCCACTTCAGAAGAACACAAAGCCTTATGAACGTTTTACCAGCTTGACACTGTTGTCGACGACACCATGATACAGTATCATGCGCTTCTGCTTTGGGCACTACCCCAGGCCTGGCAGGCTCATTGCTATTCCAGCATATGAAAGGAGAATTTTGGAGCTTTTGGTAAATATTTGACAGGACTTTTAATGCTGAATCAAGGGACCAGACTCATAAGCGGACCAGCAGGCAGGGAGGCAGCAGCTGAGCCCCAGTCCCTATGATCCCCCTTTTATCCCTCATCCTCAGCTCAGGTCTCTGTATGCATATACAGAGGCCCCTGCTTGCTGGCTTCTCTGCTCAGGTGTCTGCAAGCACAGGGGTGTGTGCTTGTGCTTGTGCCCGCAGGAGCCCTCTATCACATGTGGGGAACAAAACCTGGGAAGAAGCAAGGCTGAGGTGGGAGGTGAAAAAAGCCTGTAATTCCATTTTCCTTGCAGCTGCTTATATGCTTATCAATACTTAGGCTATTTTCTGTGTGACTTTAAACTGTACTTTTGTATGTGATCTTGCATCTCCTCAATACATCTTATGGATGCTGCATGTTGATCCTGTGCTTTTTGCAACTAAAATAAAGAGAGAAAAAAGAACCTTTTTACTACTAATCACCCAGTACAAACCCATTGCCACTTGTTTTTGCAACTGAACTGTATTGGCACACAGCCAGACTCTCATCTGCAAATTGTCTCTGCCCTAACAGCAGAGCAGAGTTGTTACAACAGAGACTTTTTTTATTTTTTATATTTTTTAATTTATGTAGATAAGAACTGGAGTGTCAGCCAGACATGCAGGGGGTGAGAGGATTCACCAGAGATAGAGTGGGGAGCAGAACAGGCAAATCTACTGAAATACACTGCTGAGGGGAGCAGTGGGTGAGACAGGAGAGGTCTGCTGCGCCATGAGAGTCAGCTCCCTGGCCAGGGATTGAACACAAGCTGAGAGACGCTGAGAGACTGCTAAAAGCTTGATCGTGCTGAGATTTAACTCCTTGCACCAGAGAGGCCCACAACAGAGATTCTATGACCCACAAAGACTAAAACATTCTCTCTCTGGTTCTACAGAGGAAAATTCACCGACCTCTCCTACAGTATTCAAGTTTGTAGACTATATTTTGTCATATAAATGTACACATTCGCAAAATGGTCTGATGGAGAAGGATAAGAAAATATCGATGTAAACGCTTTGTATTCCAAACCCCCATCAGCACTGATCTTAAACTTCCGCACATGTAAATGAACACAGAGCCTCCAGTGAGTATAAAAGCCAACGTGCTGCTTTCAGAACGACCTGGTGTTTCGTGGAATTGAGAGACAATTTCTACACCCGAGAAGAGGCCTGGGGGTGGAGCTGCGCCACCAGCTGCTAGGGTGTGACCTTAGGTAACACTTAGCTTTCTGTCTCAGCCTCTTCCTGTGTCAAATGGAGACCAACCTACAATCTGTCCACCCCGGATTGGGAAGATCCAGTCAGCAAAGACACATAAAGTGCTGAGGGGAGTAACTGGCACATACAAAGCTCTAATTATTTGTCATTAGCATTATAGTTGATTTATGTTCCAATAGAATTTGATACCTTAGCCAGATGGCAGGCCTGAGGAAGTGGTCTCCTAAACCAATGATGCTGAACTCCTTCTTCACACAACAAAAGTAGCGGCAAGGGAGGGAGCCTGGGGCCCAGGGTAGACTCTCGGCACTTGAGAAGCGCCACAGTCCCACCAGCCAACAGCACCTGCTTCCCACCTGCACCTGTTACCACTGACTGACTGCCTGTTCTGCTGAGCAGGAACGCTCACCGGCTACACAGCAAACAGAGCCAGACTGAGCTGCGCACCTGTAGGCAAGTGGCATCCTCCCGCCTTTAGCATCTGTGCTCAATACCTGTGGACTTATCCCCGAGCCTGCGGGAGCGCCTGGGGTGGGGTGTGGGTGTAAGTGCTGGGAGACAGCCCTGAGGGCGGCAGCAGCCCAGGATCCAGCAGTGGAGAGCAGTAGAGACTGGGGGGGAGCTCAGGAAGGGGAAAGATTTCCCTGGGGCGAGGCCTGCCAGCCCCCAGCCTGGTCGCCTCACTACAAAATGGTGTAGAAAGATCATTGAAGGCCTGAACAAGCCACTGAGGGCTCCGGGACTCTCCTTTCTCCACCTGCCCATATCATAGAGAACTTGTTCTATGCCCTGCTGACGCTGCAGTAACTCAGGGACCAGCAGAGGCTGCCGAAAATCACGGGTACTGGATTCTGCTGTTAAGTCAAAGTTCCACATCAATTCATCCCCAGTTTTTAAGCTGGGCTGCTTTAGCAAGTAATCTGAGCATTAGGTTAAGGTTAAACAACAGGCACTCCACATTTACAAAGCTTTATAAATGGCCAAGTGCTGCAAATCTGCAAATCCCAGGTCTGCCTCATTTCAATGGTTTTTCATAGTGAGGGGGAAATTGGATATCTGTTGAACAATTCTCTATTAGTGAAGTGCTTTTAATTTTATGTTTAATGGCTTGAAATATACTTTGAATAAATGCGCCAGTATCTCCAAGGAGAAATGATTAGTATGGTACAAAGTTGTTAACTTGGGCCTTCTTGATGGTTAAAGTCTCAGCACTATGAAGCTATCGCCAGCTAGCCACTGTAGCACAAGTTGGATCCCGATCCCCGGCCAGGGAGCTGACCCACATGGCGCAGCAGACCTCTCCTGTCTCACCCGCTGCTCCCCTCAGCAGTGTATGTCAGTAGACCTGCTGTTCTGCTCCCCACTCTGTCTCTGGTGGATCCTATCACTCTTCCACACTTCTGGCCTACACCCCACCTCTTGTATGCATAAATATATGAATCTTTTAAAAAATAAAAATAAAGTAGTTTATTTTAACAACTAAAAGGTTTTTAATTTATGCAATGATAAATAACATGTCTATCACATTTTATACTACCTTAGTAATTTATACATGTGAAAGATAAGCTCTCTCTTATGAAAAACAAAAATAATGCAAAGTTAAGGGCTAGATTAGTCTTCACAGACCAGATCAGATGCCAAGTGCTGAAGAGGGTAAGTTCCATGAGAGAACAGTCAGAGAAAGCCTGACAGGGCAGAGACTGTGAACCAGGTCTGAATGACGCAGAATTAGCTAAGGGAAATAGAAACTGAGAAGATGGAAAAGAGAGCATGAGTAAAGGCCTAGAGATGGTGACTTCAACCCAGTGAACTCAGAGGATACAATCCAAGGGCAGAAAAATAAAAGCAGTGTCCACACAGCAATTTGCTAATGAGCCCACCCCCCCCACACACACACACACATAGAATTAAACAGAATTGAATTTTAAGCATCTTTCGTTCTCCCTCATTTCTTCTAGCCCCTGGACTTATTTTCCAGTTGCACTCCCAGGAGCCCTGAGAATTAATTGCGTTGCACCTCTAATGAAATACTCCATTCTTCCTCTCAAGTTGATCACATCAAACGCGGCATCTGCTGGTCTTCACCAGCTGTTAAGCCCAAAGTAACATTCTGCTGTAGAAGATAAAACACCGGAAGGTAGCTGTCTACACTGCCTGGTGCCTCTGTGGACTTGGGGTTGTGTGCAAGTGCCCTTCCCCGACAGCCGCACCTCCTCGCATGCCCGCACCCCCCAGGGGCACAGGGCAGACTCCTTTCAGGGACTAGCTGTCCACTTCCTTGGCGCTTCACGTAAAAGCCTCTGTGAAAGGAGTGCCTGTGGTCCCCATGCTGGCTTTCTGGTTGGTGAATGGAAGAGCCACCTGGTTGGTGAATGGAAGAGCCACTTTGATAGGTTACAATAAAAGGATTAGCAGTAACCAAAAGTTAGGTAATACACCTAAAGGCCCATGAACTAATGGATGGATAAGTGGTTCAGCATATAAATGAATACTGTTCGACAAAACAAAGGAAGTACTGCTAGGAGCTGTGACCTGTGACACCGAACTCTGAAAATACGTTAAGTGAGAGAAGCTACTCTCAAAGGTCCACATATTAGATGATTCATTATATGAAACCTCCAAGGTAGATCTACAGATCCCCAAAAGAGACTGGGGGTTAGGTGGAGCTGGGGGAGGGGGTGGGCTGAGGACGACAGCTAAAGGATAAAGTGTTTCTTTCTGGGGTGATGAAAATGTTCTAAAAATCAATGCAGTGATAGTTTCACAACTCCAAATAAAAGGCACTGGACCGTACATTTTAAGTGACTGAATTGTATGACGTGTAAATTATATCGAAATAAAGTTTCCTTTTAAAACATACAGAGAATCTAGATAATTATATTAGGAGTCCATAGTATACGTGATCTGAACATTTCTGTGCTTTCACAATATAGCATTTCAATAAATTGAAAATGAAGGGGATGCCTATTTCCAGCAGTTTTGTGTAATCACCATCCTGTGCGATTATTCTGAAATCCATGAAGTAAATATACACAGATTCTATATCCATTCACAGAAATAAAGAGGAGGAGGAAAAGACAATTTTCTGGGGTATTCTGTTAGACATTTATCCTCTCTATCTGACTTGTCTCAACATAGTAATGGGAATGTAACTAAAAAGTATTTTTTAGTAGGAAAAATCTTCAACTTCTTTGAGGTATTAAGCATAATAAATCTTAACTTTCTTAAGAATAAATATTTTAAAATTGCAAATAAAAATGGCAGAATTAAAATCAGACTTGAAGAAAATGTACATTAACAAGGTAATAAAATTGTAATGAATTAGTAAATGCAAAAATGGTTCCTGTGAAAATATCCTAAATTTTTTTATATATAACCAGTTAAATATTAACAGTAGATATTTTTTATAATTTTTATAAAGATATTTTTTATAAAGTAATCAAAACAATTATGAATGCAGTGTTTTTTAACAGTAGATATTTCAAAGTTAATACATGCGTGACTTCTGATTTGACTTAATGTCTTTAAATAGTATATCTCATTTTCTAAATTAATCTGATAATGTAAAGTGACCTCCAGTGAAGCTCTAACACAGATTGCTTTTTGAGGGTATCAACCAGCTCTTGTCTTGTTGAAGTTGTCTCATGATCACCTATTGAGATCTTTCTGTTACTGATCTTATAAATCACTTTATTATTAAATTATGTTAATAATATGCAGTCCTTGAAATAATATACACCTTGACAAATACCTGCTCCCCTTCTTTTCCTTAGACACAAGCCTGTTTACTGAATTCAGTTTAAGACTCAGAAGATGTTATCCTCCTGCTTCAGATTCAGCTTCCCGCATGTGTTTGCCCCTGATCAATTGATAAACTTTACAAGCCACTGAAGTCTCAAAAAGAGAAAGGCATTCGGGTGGGGTTAGTGGTGGTCATTTCCACGCTGGGAAAGTTTCCCCTTTTTTATTGGAGTCTGACATTAATTTCAGAGTTCCTCACATGCTCAACCCTCTGCCCAAACCCTTCTGTGATAGACTTCTATCAGAAGAGAAGTACATCATTCCAAATGGCTTCAAGACCCTAGATAACTTGGTCTCCATCCCCACCTTGGCCTCAGGCACTACTATTCCCCCACTCACTACCTGCCTGTTCCCCATGACTGTCTACCACCCCTGCCCCACTGATCTGAAAATGCAGATCTGAAGCCAGAGTGAATCTTGGAGAGGTACAGTTCTCTTAATGTTGGATGATCTTATGTCCAAATGATAATCAAGAGCCTTGAAATGAGTATCATTGACAATTTTAAATAAGCATATTAAAGGTGATTTATAGACTGAGTCGATTAAATCTAAGTTTTGTTAAAACCACCTATGTCTTGGGCCTTCCCTGGTGGCACAGCGGGTTAAAGCACAGCACTAAGAAGCTTAAGCCACTTCAGCATGAGTTCGATCCCCACCTGCCCCGGAGGAGATCCACATGGCGCAGCAGACCTCTCCTG